ATATAAACAGGAGTACATTATAAACAACTTCCTTATCTTCAACTTCCTGTTTCAATAAACAATGTGTCTTGAAGTTTATTTCATACATATAAAGCCACTCTATACTTTTTAATAGGAATCAATCCAATATATAAGGACTATTTAAACAGTCCCCTATTAATGTACATTTAAATTCATTTTTTATCTTTGCAGATCATGATGTAATTAATATTCTTGCAACATACCCTTTCAGTAAAAGACGTACTCTAATTTGAAAACTTTTTCTTAATTCTGTTTTCAACTATCTCATTTTTATATATTTATAATTCTCAGTACCAATTTACCTTTAAAACAATGGCTACTTCTAGAGATGAAGAGGATATTTAGTATACCTGAAGATCCTGGCTTGGAAGAAAACTTTTAAACCTTTGGGCATGTTGAACTGCTATGGAATGGTAGGTGTAATCCTTATCAAGATGGCGCAGTGTCACTTTGGGTACATTATTTTTTCTATATTAAGTGTTTGCTGTTATTGGAATTCCTATATTTGCCAAATGTAAAGAAAGTAAGGCAGCCACCCTGTCTGATTCAAGTAGAAAATCCAGCAACCAACTATATGACACTACCATATTGAAAACCTTGTTGTTCTGGCTTTCCGGTGGGCTTCCACAAATGCTGGGGTTAAAAAGAGTCATGCAGCTGGAATGGAATCTTGTGGTTACCCATCAAAATAAAGAAGCCCTGAGATTGGTCAATAGCACATATCTTGTGTCCTCTAGTTTCCTTTCCCTAAGAACTCAGCATTAATAAGCAACTCTAGCCAGTCACTGAAGCTCACAGGCAAGAACGTGTCATTTCCCTCAGTGTTATACATAGTGTGTGCTTAGTAAATGGTTTTGGGGTTTGTTTGGTTTTTTTGTAGAATAATGAAGCTAGACATTTTATAAATTGTTGGAATTAATCAGGAATTCTCTAAAAGATATGGAAGGAACTATTGATGAAACATTACAGGAGTTACCTGGTCATGTGTGTGAAGCACTTTAATTACAGGAAATAAATTGCTGGATAAAGAGCTGGAGATAAATGTACATCAAGGACATTGTTTTACTAAGGTGTTTGGGCAGAAATGGTGAAGGCATGAGACTTGAGAATAGGAGAAAATGCTCTTTTGCAACCCCAAGTATAACTACTGATTCCCAACATTTCCAAGGAGAAAACTCTCCAGAAGCATTTCCCAGGGCTGTATGACAGTTTGGAATATTAGGGTGGCCTTTTGAAGCCCCTAAGCATCTTAGGTAAGGTGGCTGGGAAACTGGCAGTTTTGCACTGAGGCAGCCATGGTGGGATAGAGCAGCAATCTGAAACTCTACCTTTTATAGCTCAAATATGAATATAAGTATATGGCACTATATTGGGAGCCACATTATAAAGGTAAAAGTGCTGCCCTTGCAACTATTCTCCCCTCATCTGTTCCTCTTTTTTTTTTTTTGTACCGGGGATTGAACTTGGGACCTTGCACTTGCAAGGCAGGTGCTGCAACCACTGAGCTAAATCCCCTGCCCTTCCCTCATCTGTTCTTTACAAAGCATCTGCTTGTCCTCAATTTTACCATTTGCAGAATGAAAAGTGGGTCAGATTAAGTGATCTCTAAATTTTCTTTCATCATTCTAATGCTCTTGAACTTATGCAAATTGCTCTCTATGTAGTCTCTTTTCCCTATAAGTAAATATAACTTGTGGTTAAATAAAAAGATAATATAAGTGGAAATCTCTAATGCCCATTTAACTCAGTCATAAAATTGTTTTATTTTTATTATAAATTTTCTTCCAACTCTGGTTTACAAAAATGAACAGCCATATTTGGTTATCATTATAGTAGAGACCATTTAAAATTTTCATACTTACTTTCTCAATAGCAGAAGAGTCTCATTTATGAAATTATCTATATTCTCTATATAGCACTATACCATTTTCATGTGCATATCCTGATATTACCTTAACTACATGCCTAAAACCAAGTGATTCTAAACATTTAAAAAAGTATTCCTCTATCCCTTCACTTACCCTTTTTTCTAGATAGTAATACAACAGGTTTCACATTTACAACCACTAAGTAAGTCATTTTGAACTTTTCTCTTTTCTTAAGTCCATCTTCATCAAACACATTTAATCATTCACAAAGCCTCTATGACTTAGGTCACAGCATCTCATGAACCTATCTTTTCCTTCTCTCTCTGTCTACATCATTATTTCATGTCAGTTCTGTTGTATGAGCCTTCAACTTTGTTTCCCACTTCTTTCCAAACCGTCCAACAAACCATCATAATCTTTATCTCCCTAAAATAGGACATCTTTGACATCATCTTCTGACAAAACTCTTTACAGATTCTCCACTGGGATATAGGCTACATGGAACCAAGTATTGTCTCTCATACACACATACATGCTCTTGCATTTCAAAACCCTGGAATTATGTTCTACTTTTCCTCGCTTAGTTTTTCTTAATAATGTTTCCTCAATTTCTCTGGCATTCTTTGCTTCTTGCTGTCAGTTCCACAGATATGGCATGCCTTATGCTCCCATTTATCAAAGCATATTCACTGCATATAATCCAACTTCAAATTCCTCCTTTTCAAAGCCCAAACTCACTCACCTTCTGTGTAAGTCTTTCTAACTATTCCTACCTGAAGTGATTCTCTGTCTTAAACCGTTTGTTATTTATTATGCATGACACATATTTGACACTTACATTTTGTTCTTTTTAGTTTTCTTTTAATTTTCATGTGTTTTATCTCCCCAACTAAATAATAAAGTAATTAAGGGCTAATAATATATTTTATTCACATAAAGGCCTTAATTTTGAGTCAAACCATTTGTATTTTTCTCCTTGCACTCTTAGTTATTTACTGACTGTGATCTTCATCTTAGTTTTCTCATCTGTGAAATGGAAATAGTGATGGGTATTCTTTTATAGGGGCTTTGTGGGCCTTATATGGCATAACACATGGTAGCTCAAGAGTGTCCATTGTGGAACACAGGGCAAGAGGTAAATTGTGTGAACAGTGTGTTGTGAATAGGGAATCTTCCTGGCATCACTAAAAGCATGCCACAAAGGCTGCCACTTGTCAGCCAACCAGTCTCTGTTAAGTCTACTCTAGGGACGTTAGAGGCTTTTTCCAAGTGAACAGGGCCACCCTGCCTTTCATACCAATAAAATTTGATCCTGCTTCAGAGAGCATGTTGCCAATCTTCCTAGGGTCTTCAAGGCAGTAATAAAAATGCAGACCACAGAAGTGCATCTCCTGCCTTTAATTTTGTTAAATAGGCCCCAAGACTGGCCTGCTAAAAGGGAAAATGGGCTCAGTGAGAAATTTTCCTTTCATTTCACAAGGAGAGTCCATGTGCCCTGGGCATCAGCAGGAAGGATGTACTCAACTGGGTTTTCATCCATTCCTAAAGAGCAACAGATGCTAGCCAAAGACACGGGGACATCAGTGCTGCTCCTCTGAGCCATGAAGGCCAAGTGGGGTCAGTTGTCTTAGTTTCTCTGAGACACAACACCCAATATCCATAACTTAAAGAAGGAAAGGTTTATTTTGACTTATAGTTTGTATTAGTTTTAGTCTATAGTCAGTTGACTCCAAGGCAGAGTAGTATAGTAGTGGGGCAGAAAAGACTTAGCTTAAGGTATGGCAGTTAGGAAGCAGAAAGAGAGTAAGAGAAGCTATAAACCCACACAATACAACTCCAGTGACCCACCTCCTTTGACCAGGTTTCCCCCAAATCACATTCAGCTATAAAGTTATCAGCAGACTAACCCACTAATAAGTATCATGCTTCCATGATCCAATCACCTCTCAAAAGTCCCACTTATGAACACATGAGGCTTTGAGGGGGATGACATCCAAATATAAACCATACATAACGGGTGGTTAAAAGCATTAAACTGGAAAGTATAAAGTTTGAGCTCCAATAACCATCAGGGATATCACTACCACGAAGTAGTCCAAGATCCAGACTTAAACCATCAATGCTTTATTGAAGATAATTCAAAGGTAAGAAATAATTCTGTTAAAGGCAAAAAGTGAGATAAAAGGCATGAATTCGGATCCAGTAAAACAAATATGTGCTCTAGGTGCAATACATATGGATCTTTTTATACATTAATTGCAGGTAAACTTTCTAATTTTCTGGTGGATACACCAGATTATAATACCTGGCTCACTTGAGTGTGGTGATAGTTAGATGGGATAATGCTTCAGGCAGAGTGGCACATTGTAGGAGCACAGTCCACTAAGTACCCTCTCTCTCACTCCAGCAGATGCATCCTGTCCAGGGCTGGGAGTGAGGCTCCTGGTGACTATTCCATAAGCAGGTGAGTAAGATTACAGTATTTGAACATTTCTGAAATGCTGGCCTAGATTTTGCTGGGTGTTGTTCAATTCAGAGAAATAGGAAGGCTCTCTGCCCTTAGAGCTTTTCACTCTGGCAACTCAGGTGCAAAGGGGCTATTTTCCCAACCCCCTGAAAGAGATCTGGATGTATCCTGGATTTAATCTCGATTTTGACATGATTGCCATTTCCTATAAGGCCAATTTCCTTGTGGGAAGAAGTCCTTCCCCAGGGTAAAATCCGGACAACTTCATTTGTTTAAACTCCCTTATTGGTTTTACCGATGCAGGGTGTGGTCTTTTCTCATTACGGAATATTGACAGTAAGTAAACAACAGCGGGAAACAAGCCCTGAGAAGGCAGCCCGTCGATTTCCTTGGCTGCCCAGGGCAGGCTCCATGTGGTTGCCGAGTGGAGATGGTGCTGCAGCTGAGAGGCGCCCTCCGGGACAGGACCGGGGCGGGGGGGGGGGGGGGGAAAAGGGAGGTCGGGACCCCTGGGTTGGGGGCCACAGGGGGAGGCGCGGGACTCCGGCAGCCCCGGCTAGGTAGAGCAGGACAGGTTTCAGCAGCTCCCCCCTCAGCCCTCTCCACGCCTCCCGGGTTTTCCCCCTGGTTCCGGGTTTCCTGTTTCAGTTCTCGGCGGTCTCCAGCAGCAGGTGCTGGTTTGCCAACCTCGGCTCCAGAGGCGGCGAAGGAGAAGGAAAAGAGCGAAGGGGAGGAGGAAGCGGCGCGTGGCAGCGGGCGGCAGCGCCAGGTTCGCTCTCGCCGGAGAAGCAGCGGCGCGGGTGGCGGGCCGAGCCGGGCCTGCCGTGTGGCCTGCCGGCCGGGCGGCATGAAAAAACCTCCCGCTCATCCTGCGCCCTAGCGGCGGCCGCGGCGGCCCTGAGCCGAGGAGAGAGCGGCCGCCTGCCAGAGGGCTCCGGGGCTGCCCCGGCTCCCGGAGCATGTTGTGATGGCTGCTGAGAAGAGAATGCAAGTAGGTTGAGCAACAGCTCCGCGCGCGCGCGCCGGCGGGGTGTAAGCGATGCGAGCCAGCGGAGCGGACACTGGGGCCGCGGCGGCAGGGCACGGGCTGAAGGTGCCGTGTCGCCGCCGCCCGCCCGCCGCTTCCTCGCCGGATTGGCCCTGCTGGGCAGCAGCTCCAGGTTCGTCCTTGGGAAGCGGGTGGGGGTGCCCGGCGGAGCTGAGGCTAAGGGAGAGCGGGGCCGAGGGAGCCGGACGCCGGACGCCAGAGGGCGGCGGGGCGGGAGGCCGCGCCGGGAGAGCTCCAGGCCCGGGCGGGTCGGCCCCCGAGGTCGAGTTGCCGAGCCCCCACTGTCCAGGTGGTGCGGGGCGGAAAACCTGGCGCATCCTCCCGCGGGCAGCTCCAAATCCGCCGGGACTGCCGGTGAGGGGAGGCGAGGCGAGGCGGGCGGTCTCGTCTCCCTCCCTGTCTCCTGGCCCAGCGGCCTAGGGCCCTGGTCCACTCAGCCGCCCCGGGCACGGCCGCGGAGCACGGAGGCGAGCTTGGGCGCCCCGAGTGGAAAAGGACCCGCGCGCGCTGCTGGGGTGAGGCATCCTGCGACATCTCGGATCCAGCCCCAGCCCTTGGCATTTATTTTCCATCCTCCTACCCAGTCGACCAGCCTCTCCAGGCCAGTCCTAAGGAACCCCTTCCCCTCACTCCTCAGGCTCCAACCCAATTCCCCTTTACAGACTGCATTCCTGTTAAATCGGGGTACTCCATATTTTTAACTCCCTATTACAAAGAGGCGTTACAAATATAACTTAGAGAAATGAATCCCGCTCTTCTTCCCTCAACTGTTTCATCTTTTACCCCTTAAGAGTCTCTAAAAACTGCAGTTGCTTCCAAGTGCTGATCGTTCAAACTGGGCTTCTAGCCATTTGGGTGTCCGTTAACATTGCTGTTTATGCTCTTTGAGTTTTGTGATAAAGACCTAAAACGCTAATCCAGATTTAAGGAAAGTTTTTCTATTGGTTGCGAGGTTGTGTTGGAGTATCTCCAGGCCCATCAGGCGCTTTTTGATTTTTTTAAAATTTTTACATCTTACAATAGATGATGCAATGATACTTCGGCCTAAGTACTATGTATTTAGAAATTTGAGAAAGTTATTCAGTTTTTCACTTATTTCCTCAGTTTTCATTTTCTCATGCTAATATGTATAGAAAACAGGATATTTCTCAAACACATTTTTTAGACTTCCAAGAACCATGAGAAGTCACAAGTACAGAGAGTATGACTTTCATTTACTTAATCTTTTACATATACAATTAATTTTAGTAGCAATTTCTTAATTTTAGTATTCTCTGATGTTTGAAAATATAGATAGCTTCCCTGAAGACTTGTAAAATTAATCTTACTGTGACAAGCCCAGGAAGATGCCTAATTCAGATTTTCACCTTTCTTCACTTTTTTTTTTTCCAATTTGGCATGCTTGTTTTAAGTTACCTAAATCTATCTACTTGAAGGTACTATCAAAACATCAGAATGGTCTATAGACTGTGAATCCATAATTTAAAATGTTTGAGTATTTTTATTTAAAGAAAGTTTTACTTTCAAAGTAAGTTACAATTTTACTTCTAGCATCTGTTCATCATAAAATATTTAAACATTATCACCAAAATAAAATGAACTTTGCGGGGGTGGGGGATTGTGCTGAAATTGAACCCCAGGCCTTATGCATGCTAGGCCCTCTACCCTTAACCCAAAATAAACTTGTAAATAAAAGAACAAAGAGATCAGTGTTTTTAACCCTCTACTTAATGATGAAAGTCTAATGGAACTATTTTAGTATAATGGAAAATATTAAAGAATAGGAAACAGAAACTTGGAATGTTTGTATGCTGATAGTTTTTATTAGTCATTTCCTTTTACTAAATTTTTGTTTTAATTGCTAGAATAATAAAAAAATCTTAATTTATGTTGCAGGCTTCTCTGGAGCTATTTTTAATGGATTACATCTTCCAAATTGGACCCCAAGTGGTTAATAGAAATTATCTTTAAAATATTTTTCTCATTCTACATTTAGGATACCTTGCCTTCATTTTAGCTGACTACAATAGTTTCTACATTTATTTTAACTATAACATATATAAAGGTGTTGCTGTCATTTTATACCCATTTAGTGTTTTTCATTATTTTTTTCCACATAGGCTTAGGTTTCTTACATTTTGCTTTAATAGCCATTTTTTTTAAAAGATATTAAGTAGGGAATTTTAAAAATATTTTAGTTTTGGGATGTAAGATTATAAACTAATTTGCCAGTTACTGCTCATTTGAAAGTGGTGTACTTCTGTTCCATTGGCAAAAACTGTAATTATTTAGTATTGATCTATGTGCTGGGTATATCCCAGACCTCTAATAGGATAGGCTATGCACAGATAGGCCATAATACCAGGTGGAATGTACTAAGTGCCATGAGTGAAGAAATGAGAAATACAGACACTGGGGGAGGCCTCAAAGGTAGGATTTCGGTAGATAGACCCAGTGGGAGTTATGGCCAAGCTAGTAGTGTGTATGAGCCAAGGAACTAGCAGGAAAGGAGGGCATAAAGGGTCAGTATCTGGAGCATGTGGCAAATGTTAAGGGTGGTGATTAAGAGGACAAGAGCCTTACTATAGTTTGTATCAGGAAGAAGAGTATTAAATAGTCATTGAATAATAAAAATACATTAGATTAGGATTTCAAATTTAAACCTAAGATACTGAGATTGTGAGATTTTATCTGAAATCTGAAATTTGATTTGAATGTTCTAAAATAGTTTCTTGAGTTTTAAGTGCGGATATGCCTCGTTGGCCTGCAGCGTTGACCCACAGTTAATAATGGCAGAGGGTGCCAACTTACCTAGGCTCAGGCCTAGTTAAAACAAATACTAACATCTCTGAACCCTAATAAATGTTAATAAATTCATCTACTGTGAGGTTTAAACAATATAGTAGAATTATCTTTCTCGGGAATTTGCTTCTAAAAAAGATACACCATTGTTTTGTATATTTGGAATCGTATTTTGATAAAGGTTTAAATTCCACCTCTCTGTTCTCATATAATATGTGCTAAATATTTTCTCGAGATATTAAAAATATTTCAAACATTTTCTTCCTAACAATGTGTTGTTTTATCTAGCCATTCTATTTCTGTTAGACATTGCTTTTTCCTCTGATATTTTAATATCATAATGCTTTAATTGAACATCTCAGTAACATTTTTTTTCTTTCTGTGTTGGTGTTTTGGGGATGGATTGCTAGAAGTAAATGTCCAAAGAGAATAAGCTTTAAAGTCTTTGAGAGTGAAAAAGCTTTTGACCAAAAAAAAAAAAGTTGTATTGATTGTGCACCCATTGCCAAATAGAGTGCTTTCATCCCATTTTGAACTCACTGTTAAATTTTAAAATCTGTGACAGTTTGTTAGGTGAGTATTAATATCTGATTTTAATTCTGACTTTTCTACATATATTTTAAATTGAAGAGATACACATTGATTAAGTGTGGAGAAAAGTAAGGCCAAGTGAAATGTCCTTACTCAGAAATAATTTAGGTAAACATTTTGATATTCTCCCAGATAGTTTTTATTCATGTTGTTATACTTTACAAAATTTATATAGAGAGTTTTAAGTAAAAACATATCAAAAGCATTTCCTAATTCTGCGTCAAAATTAATTGCTCAGCACCATATAATTCTCCACAACACTTGCAGATTAGATGAAAGTTGTTTCTTCTGCATTTCTTTTCTGCTTTGTGTCTCTGCTTTATGTCTATTTAAAAAATAGAGAAAGTCCTACCTAGTACATAGATTTGTCATAAGCATCAACCAATTACAGAAAATGTTGCTTGTACCCCCTGGTGTCCCTGTGCTTTTTTATCCCGTTAGTGGTCTTTAGGCTCTCTAAGGACAAGGATTATATGGTCCACGTCATTTTTTGCCTAATTCTTGTACAGGGTTTGACATATAGTAGATGATACTTCACATATATGAATGTGTTTTACTCCATATGTGTATTTTAATTATTTAAAAAGCCATACACACTTTATTGGACTGTGCTAGTGGTGGTTATGATGTTTAAAAACAGATAGATGGATAAGAGATGCAAAAACACAATTGGTATCCAAACATTTTAAAAATTAACTTACAGTGTACCATGTGATTTCTTGAGAGACAATATACATTTGCCTTTTAAGAATACAATTAACCTTAATTATCCCTGTTAGCACAGAGTATTATAAAAGTGGATTTTCCAAAAACTTAGTCTTTATGACCAAAACATTTTAACTATTTTAAACAGAATAGTTTACTCACATGAATTATATTTTTCTATTTTTAAATAATATGTGCCCTATGATTTCACTTATTTTGAGTACTAACTATATGCCAAGCACAGTGTTAAGGGCATTACTTCCATGGTCTAATTTAGTTAGATAACAACTCTATAAGGTATATACTATTGTTTTGCATCTCTTCTAGGTGATGGTACTAATGCCTAGAAATGTTAAAGAAATAGGTCCAGGGTACTGAGAGTTCTAATTTATCCAAAATTAAATAGCAGTACTTGTTATGCTGTGTGTTTGTTTTAGATAATGAAGGGTAGCAAGATTCAATTTTACCTATATGTGTGTATATGTATGTATATACTGAGGGTTGAACCCAGTGACTCTGCATTGAGCTACATCACCAGTCCTTTTTATTATGAAACAGGGTCTCTCTAATTCACTAAATTGTCCAGGCTGGGCTTGAACTTGTGATCCTCCTGCCTCAGCCTCCCAGAGTATTGGGATTACAGATGTGTGTCACCAGATCCAGGTTAGGAATCAGTTATATTAACTCACATCTGTGATTTTAGTTCTCTCCTTGATGTTAGCAGTTCTTTGCTGACATTACCCCCTTCAGTTTACCCATGACATCTGTGGTGGCCTGAAACTGGATAACAAGCTAACATTTCATCTAAAATAAAAGTTTTAGGCAGCTATTGAAGGCCTAGAGGA